CTAGTCTATAGTCTAGTCTATAGTCTAGTCTATAGTCTAGTCTATAGTCTAGTCTATAGTCTAGTCTATAGTCTAGTCTATAGTCTAGTCTAGTCTATAGTCTAGTCTATAGTCTAGTCTATAGTCTAGTCTATAGTCTAGTCTATAGTCTAGTCTATAGTCTAGTCTATAGTCTAGTCTATAGTCTAGTCTATAGTCTAGTCTAGTCTATAGTCTAGTCTAGTCTATAGTCTAGTCTATAGTCTAGTCTAGTCTATAGTCTAGTCTATAGTCTAGTCTATAGTCTAATCTATAGTCTAGTCTATAGTCTAGTCTATAGTCTAGTCTATAGTCTAGTCTATAGTCTAGTCTATAGTCTAGTCTATAGTCTAGTCTATAGTCTAGTCTATAGTCTATAGTCTAGTCTATGTCTAGTCTATAGTCTAGTCTATAGTCTAGTCTATAGTCTAGTCTATAGTCTAGTCTATAGTCTAGTCTATAGTCTAGTCTATAGTCTAGTCTATAGTGTAGTCTATAGACTAGTCTATAGTGTAGTCTATAGACTAGTCTACAGTCTAGTCTATAGTCTAATCTATAGTCTAGTCTATAGTCTAGTCTATAGTCTAGTCTATAGTCTAGTCTATAGTCTAGTCTATAGTCTAGTCTATAGTCTAGTCTATAGTCTAGTCTATAGTCTAGTCTATAGTCTAGTCTATAGTCTAGTCTATAGTCTAGTCTATAGTCTAGTCTATAGTCTAGTCTATAGTCTAGTCTATAGTGTAGTCTATAGACTAGTCTATAGTCTAGTCTATAGTCTAGTCTATAGTCTACTCTATAGTCTAGTCTATAGTCTAGTCTATAGTCTAGTCTATAGTCTAGTCTATCTAGTCTATAGTCTAGTCTAGTCTAGTCTAGTCTATAATCTAGTCTATAGTCTAGTCTATAGTCTAGTCTATAATCTAGTCTATAATCTAGTCCATAGTATGGACTATAGTTTAGTTTATAGCCTAGACCGTAGTCTAGTCTATAGTCTGGACTATAGTTTAGACTATAGTCTGGATTAAAGTTTAGTCTGTATATAATTTAGTCTGTAGTTTGGACTGTAGACTAGTTTGTAGTCTGGGTTATAGTCTAGACTATAGTCTAGATTGTAGTACAGTCTATATTCCGGACTATAGTCTAGTTTATCATCACGTTGCAATAGTCAACTTGTATTGCAAAAACCGCAATTCATTCTAAATTACGATGGCGTGAAGTTAACAAATAATTATTAACAAATTATTGTTGTTGTGTGTGAAATTTATCAAATTTGTAATTACATACACTTTCTTTGTGTAGAAAATTACATAATTAAAGAAAAGAAAAAAAACGTTATAATTTGGAAAAATTTGTGGTTAAGTACAAGTTAAAATTTGAATGAATGACGTTTACTTTGGTTGAAATAGGATTTTTTATGAAACAAAGAATGTTTATTTAAATAAATATTATTTTTATTTTGTTTATATTAAAATAGAAAATTAAATGACTTGCAAGAAAAAAATTTCTTTGTTTTGAATTATCATTTTATTAACACTTAGTTATCAAATACCGGGACGTCTGCATCTAGAGTTATAGGCGTTAATTAAGGAGCTAAAAATAATTTTTGATTGTGAATTTGAAATTCTTTGTTTGAAAAGTCGCATAATTTTACAAACCAAACTTGTTTAAATTTATAACCAATGTTTTAACAAAGTTCAATTAACTACTTCATTACAACAAATACATAGCTCGCACTACCCTCAAAATGAATTATTAACTAAACTGTATTTATTAATATTAATTTATTTTGTTATAAATAAAAAAATAACAATTCAACATTTTTTTCTTTGCAATTGTATAGACTCTTACACGCACTCATTTTTTATATAAAATGTACATTGAACTTAAACATTCGCTAGCTACAAGTAGATAATTTATTTTATTTATTATTATTATTTTAATATTATATTGATACCCCTACATTCAATAACTTTATAAAGAAAAAGAAGAAAAGCAATCAAAACGTAATATTATATAGAAAAATATAAACATTAAACGAAACGCAACAACAATTTTCTTTATTGCGATTAATGAGTCAGTAAGAAAATAATATAATATTATTATTAATTTTTTTTGTTTTACAAAAAAAAAAAAAAAAAATACAAATAAAAAATCGCATGATATGAAATATAATCAAACAATACAATTGTACTTTTTCCCTTGTATTTTTTTAATTTTTTCAAATAATTTGACATAGAAAACCTTGAAGAAATAAACAATTTATTTACTCGTTAAAGGTTTTTAATATTATTATAGTTTAGTTAAGTATAATGATAAGAGTTCATTAAGTTAACATATACCTTTGTGCTTTTTTAAACTAGGGTTAAAAGTTTTGGAAGAAAAAACGACAAGGATGCAATTCTTATAACTAAATTTTGGAAAAATAATCTCTAGTAGCTAATGCGATATGTGTTCAATTAATATAAACATATGAACATAGAGACGGACATACAAATAAGGTTTCAAAATATATAGTAAAATTAATTTGTAATAATTACAAACGAAATGCAAATCGTATAACGAATCCTTTTTAAGGCCGATAAAACTTTAATTGTTAAAAAATAACTCAAAAGTGTACATTTTTATTCAAGAGATCAATTTGTGACCTAAACATTTGAAAATGATTCGAGTTCGTGTTATTTGTTACGATCTGCCAGCACAATGAAAAATATTGATCTTCAAGGCGGGGATTTTTGCTAGTGGTCCCACTGAAATCATGAAGAGTTCTTTGGAAACCATAGATGCCATAAACAAATTAAATTTCCTTCTCACAAAGGTGAAGGATACAATTACGGTTGATGAAAACCAAGTCTAGTTATCCTATCTCTATCTATCTTCTATCTATCTATCTATCGAATCTACTATCTAGCGAGCTATCTATCTAGCTATCTAGCTTCTTCTATCGATTAGGATTATCATCTATCTACTAGCTACATCTATCTAGCATCTAGCTATCCGCTATCATCGATCAGCTAGCTAGGAGATCTAGCTTCTAGGGCTAGCTATCTACGAGCTATCGACATCGAGCGATCATCAGAGCGAGCTAGACTATCTACAGCGAGCGAGCGAGCGAGCGAGCGAGCGAGCGAGCGAGCGAGCGAGAGAGCGAGCGAGCGAGCGAGCGAGCGAGCGAGCGAGCGAGAGAGCGAGCGAGCGAGCGAGCGAGCGAGCGAGCGAGCGAGGAGCGAGCGAGCGAGCGAGCGAGCGAGCGAGCGAGCGAGCGAGCGAGCGAGCGAGCGAGCGAGCGAGCGAGCGAGCGAGCGAGCGAGCGAGCGAGCGAGCGAGCGAGCGAGCGAGCGGGCGAGAGCGAGCGAGCGAGCGAGCGAGCGAGCGAGCGAGCGAGCGAGCGAGCGAGGCGCGAGCGAGCGAGCGAGCGAGCGAGCGAGCGAGAGACGAGCGAGCGAGCGAGCGAGCGAGCGAGCGAGCGAGCGAGCGAGCGAGCGAGCGAGCGAGCGAGCGAGCGAGCGAGCGAAGCGAGCGAGCGAGCGAGCGAGCGAGCGAGCGAGCGAGCGAGCGAGCGAGAGCGAGCGAGCGAGCGAGCGAGCGAGCGAGCAGCTATTCTACTATCTATCTATCTATCTATCTATCTATCTATCTAAGCTATCTATCTACCTATCTACCTATCTAGCTATCTATCATCTATCTAATCTATCTAGCTATCTATCTATCTTATCTATGCTATCCTATCTATCTATCTATCTATATATTCTATCTTAGATATCTATCTATCTATCTATCTATCTATCTATCTATCTATCTATCTATCTATCTATCTATCTATCTATCCTATCGATCTATCTATCATCTATCTATCTATCTATCTATCTAGCTATCTATCTATCTATCTATCTATCTATCTATCTATCTATCTATCTATCTATCTATCTATCTATCTATCTATCTATCTATCTATCTATCTATCTATCTATCTATCTATCTATCTATCTAGCTATCTATCTAGCTATCTATCTATCTATCTATCTATCTAGCCACTCCCACAAACCGCTTCATTTCAAAAATATTGGGCAAGTTTGCCCTAGTCTACAGAAAATTTACCAGTCTCTTAAAAAACAATGTCTCGGATTTGAATGAATAAAAATTCTTTAATTCTAAACTAGCAGGTTATGCTTTCTTAATCTGTATATTAAAAATGAATGGCAAATGCCAAAATTTATTATACAGTTTCTTTGGCAAATTTAAATTAATTTAAATGTTAACGGATATTTAAAGTCTGGCAGACAGACAAAACACAAAAAAACTACCATTAAATGAATAGCAAAATTATCAAATAAAACAATTTACATACACATAAATACGTAGAGAAAAAAAAAATAATTTAATGAACTGCATAAACAGAAAATAAAATACGTAAACAACAACACAATACAAATGAAACTTAGAGAAAATCAAACATTCACAGATGTTGTTGCTGGGGGCCTTAAAAGATCGAAAGAGAAGAGGTTCGTTCAATTAATTTACATAAAAACAAACGAAAAAACACTGAGAATAACAACAAAAATAAAACACTCATACTCAAATAAATGACGTTAAACACAACAATGCAAATATGCAGTTTGCAATGGAGATACAAACAACTAATGTTTCTTCTTTAACAGCTGAAATGTAGTTGATGTTGTTGTTGTTATTGGAGGTGTTTTTTTTTTTTTTTTTTGAAGTGTTAAGAATACAGGGAAAGGGGAATAGTAGAAAAAAAAACAATATTTCTTTTTAATAAACAAACGTGTATCCAAAGTCCAATCATATGTTTTTAGTGTAGACATTTGCAAATGTGAATAAAAAAAGATGAATAATAGCAAAAGAAATTTAAAATGAAATTGATGATTATTAAAGAAGAAAGTATAATAAAAATTAGACAATTTTCTAAAGAATTTCTAGAGATTTTTTTTTTTTAAATTTAATTAATAAAATATTTATGTATGTACCTATGTTTTTACCTTCCGTTTAAAAAAAAATAGCTGCTGCGTGCAATTGGATTAGTTTTCTTTGTTGCAATTTACTTTTTTTTATAGAAAAACTAGCGAGTTGCTTTTATTTTATTAAAAATTTATTATTAACAGTTTTTTCTTTAACACTTTTTAAAAAACTCACTCTATTTCACTATTTCACAATGTATTTTCTTTATGTTACTTAAAACTTTGCTAAAAAACTGTGTTTTTTTAATTACAACACTTTTTTTACAAATTTTATTTTATTATATGTTTTTAGTGTAGACATTTGCAAATGTGAATAAAAAAGATGAATAATAGCAAAAGAAATTTAAAATGAAATTGATGATTATTAAAGAAGAAAGTATAATAAAAATTAGACAATTTTCTAAAGAATTTCTAGAGATTTTTTTTTTTTAAATTTAATTAATAAAATATTTATGTATGTACCTATGTTTTTACCTTCCGTTTAAAAAAAAATAGCTGCTGCGTGCAATTGGATTAGTTTTCTTTGTTGCAATTTACTTTTTTTTATAGAAAAACTAGCGAGTTGCTTTTATTTTATTAAAAATTTATTATTAACAGTTTTTTCTTTAACACTTTTTAAAAAACTCACTCTATTTCACTATTTCACAATGTATTTTCTTTATGTTACTTAAAACTTTGCTAAAAAACTGTGTTTTTTTAATTACAACACTTTTTTTACAAATTTTATTAGTTTTTTATAAAAATCTATAAATAATTTGTGTAATTAACTTGTTTTTTTCCTTTACTGCTTTTAGTTTTTATTTATGGTTTAATAGGGGTTATTTTTTTCTTTTTATTTTAAATTTTTCTTTATTTTAGGGGTTTTTCCCTATAGTATTTTTTGGGTTCTTTGTTTTCTAAAAAAAATTGTTTCTTGTAGTTGCTCCGACAAGTGCGATTATTAAACTAAAACTTGCGCGTTGACGACCTCGAATGTTATAAGAAAAATAATACAGTCAGCCGGAGCCAGAGTCAGCCAACGAACGAGCCAACCATAGCAAAATTCAATAAAAAACACAACAACAAATACACCACACATTATACCACAACAAAAAACAAAACAAGAAAAAAATGTTTTAATCAAATTATTTTACTACTACTAACAGCTGAACAAATGAGTAATAAATACTTTTAGTAGCGCACTCTCTATCTTTGGAGCTCACTCTCTCTCTTGTTGGGGGGTTTTGCAAAAATTCAAACCAATAATTTGTAAACAAAAAAAAGCTTCCCATAATTTTTTTTTGAAATTCTCTTATTAAATGTAACTACCCAGCGGTAAATGAAACAAAGTACTTAGATAATATTCGATGACATCAGTATGACGTTCTAAGCGAGCAATCTAAGTACTTAGAGTGCAATATATGCGTAATCCAACATATCATGCACTTTAATTATAACATAGATTACGATTTAAGCAGAGAGTTAGCTGCCTTTTTCATGTTGTTTTTTGTTTTTATTTCTTTAAAAAAAAACTTAACTAAAGTACCGTTTTATTTTTCTTTTGTATACTACATACATGAAAAGAAGAATATTTTTGTTTCAGTTTAAAGTTGATCTTTTGTAAGTGACGTTGTGTTTTGTTAAAAAAGTTATTTTATTGTAAAAATTTAAAATAATTGTGGTGATCTAAATGGCAGAAACGGACTTAAAAATTGGGGTAAATGTACTTCATATATTCTAGTTTTAATACTGACAATTTCCTCTTGATTATTTACAGGATCTCTAAAGGAAGATTACCGAAAGTTTCAAAAGAAAATTAAGATTCATTTCATTTATCTTATCTTTTATTTTTTAATTATATTTTTATTGAATTAACTATAATACATGTTTATTATTTGATGATCATTTTTAAATAAACTTGCATAATTTTAAAATAAATATAAAAAATATATATTTTTTCTATAACATAATCGGAAGACATGGTACTTTAACTTACAAATGCAAATAGGATTGTAATCTACATACATTACATTCTTATTTGCAAGCGTTTATAGGCGTCTCATTAACTTCGCTTAGAACTCCACACATAATGTAAGTGAAATATTAATTTATCTTAATGATATTGTGGCTTACATTATAAGCGAGAGCACATCGATGAGGCAGCCTAGGACACTTTTATGTTAAATCTAAGTGGAAGAATAAGTTAAAGCATCACCACTGACTGCCACGAAATATCACTTAGATAAGCGAGTACATAATGTGTATTTTTACCGCTGGGTATGTACTCTTAATGATCATTATCATAAGCAACTACTCACATTTAAAGCTTTTTTTGTTGATAAACTAATGTAAACCTTCATACATACCTATGTACGTAATTAAGTGCGAACCAAAGAAAAAACAAAAAATTAAAACAAGTTTTTCTTGTAAAACAACTTTTCACTATTTCCAATACACACACAAACTGTTATACATAATTCTTTTTTATGTTTTCTTTCATATATGAGAAATCTAAAGTTGTTTTGATCTTTTTAAAGAACGTCTGATTAACTACAACAAAACCAATAACAACAGCCAATATGTCTTTATTTTGATTTTTCTAAGACTGGGGGTGTGTTCGATTTTGTATTAGTGTACTCTATTCCACTTATGCGTTTCTTGTGATATTTGTCTATAGTCTAGCCTACATTCTATATTTTAGTCCGTAAATTAGCCTATAGTCTAGTCTAAAGTTCAATCTATAGTTTAGTCTAAATTCTAGTCTATACTCTAGTTCTCGTCTATAGTCTAGTCTATAGTTTGGACTATAGTCCAGTCTATAATCTAGTCAATAGTCTAGTCTATAGCCCAGTCTATAGTCTAGTCTATAGTCTAGTCTATAGTCTAGTCTATAGTCTTGACTAAGCATAATCTTTTCTATATTACAGTCTATATTCTAGTTTATAGTCTTGTTTATAGTGTAGTCTATAGTCTAGTCTTTAGTTAAGTCAATTGTCCAGTCTAGTCTATAGTTTAGTCAACTGTCTAACCTAGAGTCTAGTCTATAGTCTAATCTATATTTGCCTATAGTCTAGTCTATAGTCTAGTCTATAGTCTAGTCTATAGTCTAGTCTAGTCTAGTCTATAGTCTAGTCTATAGTCTAGTCTATAGTCTAGTCTATAGTCTAGTCTATAGTCTAGTCTATAGTCTAGTCTATAGTCTAGTCTATAGTCTAGTCTATAGTCTAGTCTATAGTCTAGTCTATAGTCTAGTCTATAGTCTAGTCTATAGTCTAGTCTATAGTCTAGTCTATAGTCTAGTCTATAGTCTAGTCTATAGTCTAGTCTATAGTCTAGTCTATAGTCTAGTCTATAGTCTAGTCTAGTCTATAGTCTAGTCTATAGTCTAGTCTAGGTCTAATAGTCTAGTCTAGTCTATAGTCTAGTCTATAGTCTAGTCTATAGTCTAGTCTAGTAGTCTAGTCTATAGTCTAGTCTATAGTCTAGTCTATAGTCTAGTCTATAGTCTAGTCTATAGTCTAGTCTATAGGTCTAGTCTATAGTCTAGTCTATAGTCTAGTCTATAGTCTAGTCTATAGTCTAGTCTATAGTCTAGTCTATAGTCTAGTCTATAGTCTAGTCTATAGTCTAATCTATAGTCTAGTCTATAGTCTAGTTATAGTCTAGTATAGTCTAGTCTATAGTCTAGTCTATAGTCTAGTCTATAGTCTATTCTATAGTCTAGTCTATAGTCTAGTCTATAGTCTAGTCTATAATCTAGTCTATAGTCTAGTCTATAATCTAGTCTATAGTCTAGTCTATAGTCTAGTCTATAGTCTTGTCTATAGTCTAGTCTATAGTCTAGTCTATAGTCTAGTCTATAGTCTAGTCATAGTCTAGTCTATAGTCTAGTCTATAGTCTAGTCTATAGTCTAGTCTATAGTCTAGTCTATAGTCTAGTCTATAGTCCAGTCCATAGTCTAGTCTATAGTCTAGTCTATAGTCTAGTTTATAGTCTAGTCTATAGTCTAGTCTATAGTCTAGTCTATAGTCTAGTCTATAGTCTAGTCTATAGTCTAGTCTATAATCTTGTCTATAGACTAGTCTATAGTTTAGTCTATATTCTAGTCTATAGTTTAGTCTATATTCTAGTCTATAGTCTAGTCTATAGTTTAGTCTATATTCTAGTATATAGTCTAGTCTATAGTCTAGACAATAGTCTAGTCTATAGTCTAGTCTATAGTCTAGTCTATAGTCTAGTCTATAGTCTAGTATATAGTCTAGTCTATAGTCTAGTCTATAGTCTAGTCTATAGTCTAGTCTATAGTCTAGTCTATAGTCTAGTCTATAGTCTAGTCTATAGTCTAGTCTATAGTCTAGTCTATAGTCTAGTCTATAGTCTAGTCTATAGTCTAGTCTATAGTCTAGTCTATAGTCTAGTCTATAGTCTAGTCTATAGTCTAGTCTACAGTCTAGTCTACAGTCTAGTCTACAGTCTAATCTATAGTCTAGTCTATAGTCTAGTCTACGATCTACCCATCAAGCTAACAATATTAGAAGAGCATCATACCTACATCGAACTAAAAATTTCTGATATTTCATTTCAAGACATAACTCTTTGCCTCCCAAACTAACTCATGAGTCATGACTAATATAATATATTTTCTTCTGGCGAAAAACGTGAATATTAATGTACATATTTTCCTAAACAATCCGAAATATTTTGAGTATTTTTTTTTTGTAAAATTATTACTCATACCTACTATATTATAGTTTTATAACCTAAATTATTTATGGTAAAAATATTAAATTTTATTTATACTATATGTAGGTACACTTGAAAATATGCGCTGCTGGGAAGAAAAATAGTTGTCGAACAATAAAGAAAATAGAAGAACCATTTTTTTTATCAATGAAAGCAAAATAATCATAAACAACTGGTAAAGAAAATCAGTTCAGAAGAAAAATAGACAGAAAAACTAAATATATGTATATTTGTATGGTCGGTCGAAAAAACAAGGTCAGACAGTCTATAAGGAAGAAAATGTATAATATATAAAACAGCTATGCAAAATTTAAAAAAGAAAATACACTTGAAAGTGTGGGGAAATGTTATTTAAATTTGTAGGATGTTTACGAAATTTTAGATAATTAAGAGACCCCTAGTGGTAATGTAATTGTTAATACGTGGGGAACATTCATGATTACAATAATAGTGGAAGATTTGAAGAGGCAACAAGAAATGTTTTCATTTTGTATGCGTAGGATTTGTTTATAATAAAGTATGAAATATATACATAAATCTTCTACGAATCAGGGGCCGTATTTGTTATTGAATGATAACAAAAAGAAAATTCGATATGAACTATTGAAAACTTAATGATAATTCCTATCGAAAAAGTAATTTAGATAAGAAAATGTGATTTCTTGTTTGTAAGCTAATGTTATAACCTGAAATATTCTATAGGCTGAACTTTAGTCTAGTCCTGTCTGCAGTCAAGTCTGTACTCTAGCCTAAAGTCTAGTCTAAAGTCTTGTTTACAATCAAGTCTAAAGTCTAGTTTATAATCTAGGTATAGTCTAGTTTAGTCTATAGTTCAGTCTATAGGCTAGTCTATAGTCCTGTCTACAGACTAGTCTATAGTCTATTCATTTCAATAGTCTAATCTATAATGTAGTCTATAGTCTAGTCTATAGTCTAGTCTATAGTCTATAGTCTAGTCTATAGTCTAGTCTATAGTCTAGTCTATAGTCTAGTCTATAGTCTAGTCTATAGTCTAGTCTATAGTCTAGTCTATAGTCTAGTCTATAGTCTAGTCTATAGTCTAGTCTATAGTCTAGTCTATAGTCTAGTCTATAGTCTAGTCTATAGTCTTGTCTATAGTCTAGTCTATAGTCTAGTCTATAGTCTAGTCTGTAGTCTAGTCTATAGTCTAGTGTATAGTCTAGTCTATAGTCTAGTCTATAGTCTAGTCTATAGTCTAGTTTATAGTCTAGTCTATAGTCTTGTCTATAGTCTAGTCTATAGTCTAGTCTATAGTCTAGTCTATATCTAGTCTATAGTCTAGTCTATAGTCTAGTCTATAGTCTAGTCAATAGTCTAGTCTATAGTCTAGTCTATAGTCTAGTCTATAGTCTAGTCTATATTCTAGTCTATAGTCTAGTCTATAGTCTAGTCTATAGTCTAGTCAATAGTCTAGTCTATAGTCTAGTCTATAGTCTAGTCTATAGTCTAGTCTATAGTCTAGCCTATAGTCTAGTCTATAGTCTAGTCTTATAGGCTAGTCTATAGTCTAGTCTATAGTCTAGTCTATAGTCTATAGTCTAGTCTATAGTCTAGTCTATAGTCTAGTCTATAGTCTAGTCCATAGTCTAGTCTATAGTCTAGTCCATAGTCTAGTCTATAGTCTAGTCTATAGTCTAGTCTTATAGTCTAGTCTATAGTTTAGTCTATAGTCTAGTCTATAGTCTAGTCTAGCTAGTCTAGTCTATAGTCTAGTCTATAGTCTAGTCTATAGTCTAGTCTATAGTCTAGTCTATAGTCTAGTCTATAGTCTAGTCTATAGTCTAGTCTATAGTCTAGTCTATAGTCTAGTCTAGTCTAGTCTATAGTCTAGTCTATAGTCTAGTCTATAGTCTAGTCTATAGTCTAGTCTATAGTCTAGTCTATAGTCTAGTCTATAGTCTAGTCTATAGTCTAGTCTATAGTCTAGTCTATAGTCTAGTCTATAGTCTAGTCTATAGTCTAGTCTATAGTCTAGTCTATAGTCAAGTCTATAGTCAAGTCTATAGTCTAGTCTATAGTCTAGTCTATAGTCTAGCCTATAGTCTAGTCTATAGTCTAGTCTATAGTCTAGTCTATAGTCTAGCCTATAGTCTAGTCTATAGTCTAGTCTATAGTCTAGTCTATAGTCTAGTCTATAGTCTAGCCTATAGTCTAGTCTATAGTTTAGTCTATAGTCTAGTGTATAGTCTAGTCTATAGTCTAGTCTATAGTTTAGTCTTTAGTCTAGTGTATAGTCTAGTCTATAGTCTAGTCTATAGTCTAGTGTATAGTCTAGTCTATAGTCTAGTCTATAGTCTAGTCTATAGTCTAGTCTATAGTCTAGTGTATAGTCTAGTCTATAGTCTAGTCTATAGTCTAGCCTATAGTCTAGTCTATAGTCTAGCCTATAGTCTAGTCTATAGTCTAGTCTATAGTCTAGTCTATAGTCTAGTCTATAGTCTAGTCTATAGTCTAGTCTATAGTCTAGTCTATAGTCTAGTCCATAGTCTAGTCTATAGTCTAGTCTATAGTCTAGTCTATAGTCTAGTCTATAGTCTAGTCTATAGTCTAGTCTATAGTCTAGTCTATAGTCTAGTCTATAGTCTAGTCTATAGTCTAGTCTATAGTCTAGTCTATAGTCTAGTCTATAGTCTAGTCTATAGTCTAGTCTATAGTCTAGTCAATTGTCTAGTATATAGTCTAGCCTAGTCTATAGTTTAGTCTATAGCCTAGTCCATGATTTTTCCAAAATTTTGAATATATTTCGATGCTTTTTATATAATTATATAGACAATATGTATAGCAAACGAAAGCTATTTGAAAGCCCTTTTATATGGTACTAGAAACAGGACTATGTGCTTGAATTATAAACAAAAATATGAAGGAAACTATAGGTTTTAAGGGATTTTTTTCTTAAAAATATGTATTTTTATAAAAAATCTGCTAAAGAAAATAAAAAAAAAACTTACCAAAATAATAATAAACAATTAAAGCCGTTAATAAATTGTCAGTTTACATATTTTCAAATGTTTATTTAAAAAAAAAAATCAGCGTGTAAAATATTTTGCTATACAAGTAAAAATTTTGAATTAAAAATTTAAGACAAATAGTAATAAACATAAAAAATATTATGTATTTTAAAATTAAATTAAACCAAAAATAAAAAATTTGAAAGACATAAAAACTGATTTTACATTTAACATAAAATTTTATAAAATAAAATAAAAATATTAATACAAATTAATTAAATGTTTAAAATTATAAATTATAATAAATATTGGCAAATGAAGAGGAAAAAAATAATAAAAATAAAGTTATTAATAAAAATACTATTAAAAGTATTTTGATTGTTTAGCAATATATTAATAATAACTATGAGAGTTTAACAACGGTCAAGAAGTATTTGTTATTTTTTTTGTTTAAAATAAAAAATAATTAATTTTATTAGTTAAATTGCAAATGCTCAAGAACGTTTAAAAAAAGGCCTCATCATGTTAAATTTTGTTTAAAATAAATTGAGCAGAATGTTTAAACAATTTTATTTTTATAATAATTTCTTTAATAATATTTGTCTTTTTTTTTGAGAAAGTGTTTTGAAAAGATTTTTCTAAAGAATTTATCTCTCTACCTTTAAACATCATCATTCCTATAAATATAAACAGTTTTTTTTTTTTGTTAAAAAGCATAAATTAATTTATGAATATTTTTGCAACAATTTTAATTCTATTCTTTTTTTTAAATATTACAAATTTTTGGCGGCCTTTTTACGTCTGGCATCTGTTATAGCACCCCAAAGTTCTATGATGAAATCATCGGTAAAACCAAATGATTCTAAATCGGAATTATCAATGGCCTCGGCAAAATCCATGGAATTTGTTTTATCACTACCCAGATCCCAGATTTGGGTGGCCAATTCGGTATCATTGATGCCCATAAATGATTCGAGTAAATTATTTATGGCCTCTATACCCGCCTGCGTTGAATCATCGAATTTTTCCTCTATTTCCACATTACCATTGGCCTTAAAACGTAAAGTCTCTTTGCCACTGCCATAACCACCACGTCCCGAGGTTATGCGTGATTGTGAACGGGGTCCTATACCCTGAAAGCCGCTCTTCATGGGCTCCACCAAACGCAAGGTAAATGTAGAGCCGGTGGGTATTTCCTTCAGCAATCTGGCCACCTCATAGTGACGTTTACCCACCATAGTAACACCATTTAATTTCTCTATATGATCTCCCACCAATATATGTTCAATGCGATCGATTACCGAGCCCTCTTTAATGCGCTTAATAAATGCAAAACCAGCACCATTATCGGTAATTGTTAGACCCAAAGCATCTTCTGATTTCAAAATTTCAATTTCCTTGGGCTGTCCTTTACGATGGGCAAATATGAAATCATCTAAACCTATCTGGCCGCCCAGCAATTTCGACATATCCACCTTGTGTGAGTTGAGGGTACAGAATAAGATTTCATCGGCTGGTATCTCATAACATTCGGCAATTTTCTTATATAGTTCTCTTACACTAGCAAAACCGGTTATTAACCCGGTAGGACTGCCATGGGCCAATTGACAGTGAAATACTAATTGTGGTTTTGTGACATTTGATTCGGGCATATTTTGATTGGCAACTTTACCACTGTGTCCATTCATTGAATTCTGTTTGCCATTGGCTAAGGTACCGTTATTATTGTCATATAAAGCCGTATTGGAGTCGGGTATTTTGGGTATTTTCTTGGCGAATAGTGGCATTATTATTTATGTGTAAGTTTTAACGAAATTTCACGTAGTTTTTTGTCAATTTTTAAATCTGTTTCGGAGAGAATATTTCTTTTATTGAGTTTGAGTTCTTCAAATATTTATTAAATTTTATTTACATTATTCGTAGGGGTGTAACCAAATGTGGATGAAATTGTTAGTTTTCATTATGTATGTATGTATGTATGTTTTAATGTTTAAATGTAAACCACAGCCATGTGCAAATATTTAGTACCATAAACCAGAAAAGATAATATATATTTAAATCTGACCTCTATATTCTATAAGTCTCACTTTTTTAATACCTTCAACTTTGCGAGAATAGTATAAGTAAGTTTTTCATATCAAGTATATATAATTTGCAATCTTATCATAGATATAGCGATGTCCGTCTGTCTGTCCATATATTTGATGAAATCAAATTTCTGTAAACTCTTTAGAATTCAAACCTGATACCATTCTATTAGACATAATTTCAAGAATTTTCCTTTAAAATCAGCAAAATCGTTCAATAAATATTCAAAATTCTGAAAAAGATAACAGGTATATCAAAAGAAAGATATTTCAGAGAGCTTTCATTCTAAAAACACATACAACCAATACATATGAAGTCCAAGAAATCGTATGCAATACATGACACCAAGTATATGGATCTGTATTTGGTTGGATCAGAATAAAGTCCGAATAAATTTAATGCGTTTGACGCCAACATTGGTTGAATTAAGTCATATTATTCCGATTACTTTATTCGACTGCTATTTGTTTGGATTAATCTACATCATTTTCAGTAAAATGGGTTTTACTTCAGAACAAGGCAGATATGAAGTTATCATCACAAATTAAGAAGACTATTGTCTAGACTATAATCGACTATTGTATTGTGCAGGCTATTGTTCAGTCTATTGTCCAGATCACAGTCCAGACAATGTCCAGACTATAGTGCCGATAATAGTCCAAACTATAGTCCAGACTTTTGTCCAAACTATAGCCTAGTATATTGTCCGGACTAATGTCCAGACTATAGTCCAAACTATTGTCCACACTATAATCCAAACTATTGCGCAGATTGTAGTCCATACTATAGTCCAAGATATAGTGCAGACTATAGCCCAGGCTATAGACTCATGTCCAGACTATATTCTAAACTATTGTCTACACTACTATTGTCCAACCTAAAGTCGAGACTATAGATTAAACTATAGTCCAGACCATAGTCCAGTCTATTGTCCAGACTAGTGTCCAGACTATAGTTCAGACTTTTGCCCAGACTGCAGATGAGACTATTGTCCAGACTGTTGTCCATACTATATTCCCGACTATTCTCCACACTCTAGTCCAGACTATTGTGCAGACTATATTCCACACTATTGACCATACTATTGTCCACACTATAGTCCACACTATAGACCAGATTATAGTCCAGACTATAGACCAGATTATATTCCAGACTATAGTCTAGGCTACAGTCCAGACTATTGTCCAGAAAAGTTCAGATTATTGTCCATACCATAGTGCAGACTTTATTCCAGACTATAGCCAAGGCTAATGTCCAGACTATTGTCCACACTATAGTCGATATTATTGTCCAAACATAGACCAGATTATAGTCCAGACTATAGTCTAGATGACTGACTACAGTCCAGACTATTGTCCAGACTATAGTCCAGACTATTGTCCAGAAATGTCCAGATTATTGTTCACACATAGACCAGATTATAGTCAAGACTATAGTCTAGACAACAGTCCAGAATATTGCCCGCACATAGACCAGATTATAGTAGAGACTACAGTCTCTGGTCCAGACTATTGTCCACACATAGACCAGATTATAGTCCAGACTATAGTCCAGGCTATAGTCGAGACGACAGTCCAGACTATTGTCCAGAATATAGTCCAAACTATTGTCCAGACCAAACTACTGCCGGGATTTATACCAGACTATTGCTCACACTTTAGACCAGCGTATACATAGTCCAGGCTATTGACTAGGTATATTACAGGCTATTGTCCAAACTATTGTCCACACTATTGCCCAGATTATAGTACAGACTATTGACCAGATATATTCCTGACTAAAGTCTAGACAATAGTCTATTGTCCAGACTATTATCCAGATTATAGTCCAAACTATTATCTACACTATAGTTCAGACTATTGTCCACACTATAGTCCAAACTATTGTCCACACTATAGTCTAGATTATAGTGCAAACTATTAACCATATTTATTTCCAGACTATTATCCAAACTATAGACCAAACTACTGTTCGGACTATAGTCTATACTATTGCACACACTATAAATCAGACTATTGTCCAGGCTATTGTTCACACTATAGATCAGACTATTGTCCAGGCTATAGCCTAGACTATTGACCAGCCTATTGTCCAGGCTATATTCCATATCATCTAAACTCAAGACCAGATTATAGTACATAAATTAGATCACAGTATAGACCAAACTACAATTACATTATATCAGATATAATCAGACTATAGTCAAGACTATGGTTTAGATTACTGTACAGAATATAGTCTAGATAGTACATTACAGAATACCATTCTATTGAATGGTGATCATTATTCCGAGAAATTAGGATAGGTTCCACCTATGTCTCTTTGTTTAAACTATTACGAATTTTAAATAAATCATAGACAAACTAGTCCCGGTCCATACAGTAATCACAAGCCGTAGCTGATCGTTTAAAAGTCTGATTAGAGCCGTTTAACTTTAACAGTTATACAAAGTCCAGAGCCAAGAATCTTTAACAGTTGAAGTAAAGAGGCTAAGTATATACATTTAATTAATAGTAGATCTTCTGATGGAGGTAAAATATTGAAAAATATTTGTCAATGATCACTAGATCTTTGTCAGTTCCGTTTCCTTTATAGTATATATCAAAAAGTCTATAAGTGTTTTTAAGTTTCAGGTACATTCAATTATCGATTGTTATCGTTGAAAAAAAAAACCAAACACTTTATTTTACAGATTAAATTTATATTTATAATATTGTTTTGAGTCATTTTGTTTAAAATTTGTTTTAAATTTTTAAAATATTATTTATTTTGTATTTGTTTATACAAAACTTAACAAATTTTTTTAATCAATTAAATTAAATGACGGTCATGATGAAGATGATTAATAATTAATAATAAGATTATGATAAAAATGTGGACAAGTTCAAAACATTGAATTAGTATAAAATTTGTGATAATAAAGTGAGGTTAGGTAATGTTTAAGATTTTATTATTTACATTATATTTATTGTTATGGTTATTTAAGTTGTTTTTTTTTTGTTTTTGCTACACTTTTAAAAATATTTTTGTTAACAATTTTAATTTAAAAGAAATCCACTAAACCAAGAAATTAACCGTAATAATAACTTTTGTTTAAATTTAGCACTCACGATGTTTTATTACTACTTTTGTTTTTAAAAAAAATTTCTATAAATTAAATTTGATTGAATACAGGCGATATTTTGAGTAGAAATTCTTTGTGTATTTTATCACATTCGGAAAACGTTGTCGACGACAATATAGAAATTGTTAAAAGATAAGATTTCAAAATTTAGACAAGAAGAATATTATTATTATTATTATTTTTTCAATGTGTGTGGTTGATAAGAATTATTTGTTGTTGTTATTTGTTTAAATTATTTCCAAGTTAGATAGCGTATATAGAGTTGATAACAATTTCTTTGGATATTCCCGTTTATATTACGTTACGTACCGTCTTCTTACAACACAAATTTAATACTGAATTGTTTTAGGAAGGTGCACACCGGGCAGCCACACACTCTAAAGCCTAAAGAGCCTCAACTAGGGTGATGAAAAAGTCGAAGTGCAAGCACTTTAAATTCTATTTTTGGTCTGACATTACAACATAATTTAGACAACCACTAGAGAAAATTTCTTAATAAAAAATGTTTAAGTTGATAATAAGCAAAACGCACATTTTAAGCACAAGAACATTTTATAATAAAATATGCTTTTATTTAACATAAAACGGAAATGCAATTGAGGGAAAGTAGGTACCAGCAGCATAAGTTTTTTCTAGCTATTTGTAGAAAACACTCCCTAGTTATTTAATATTTGTAAATGAAATGAACATTTCTTTAGAATTTAATTGATAAACTATATTTTAGTTAAAATGTTTTCTAAATATTTGCACACTTATTTTTTTGCCGTTTTAGCGTGTTTTTTTAAACGCTTCACTCTACATCAACTTATATTTTGTTTAAACGCAATTAATTTGATAAAAAAGAATCACCAGAAATTTTTAATGAAATAATAAAATTTAGATTTTTTATAAATTTAAAAAAAATTTGATTTTATTTATGAATAAAAATTTGTCAAATAAATTTGTTTGGAAAAAAATGTGTATAAAGAAAACATGATTAATACATACACTGAGAGAAATTTCATAATAAATGGTATTTCAAAGTAAAATTTAAAGGAAATTTTCGAAAATTACCTTTTTAAAGGAAATTTTCGTAAATTTACCTTCTTAAAGGAAGATTTTGTAAATTTATCGTCTTAAAGAAAAATTTCGAAAAATTACCTTTTCAAAGGAAATTTTCGAAAAATTACCTTTTCAAAGGAAATTTACGAAAAATTACCTTTTTAAAGGAAATTTACGAAAAATTATCTTTAAAAGGAAATTTTCCAAAAAAAAGCCCTTTTAAAAGAAATTTAAAAAAAAAATTCCTCTTTAAAGAAAATTTTCAAAAAAAATTTCCTCTTTAAAAGTAATTAAAAAAAATACCTTTTAAAGATAATTTTCCAAAAATTACCTTTTTAAAGGAAATTTTCCAAAAATTACCTTTTTAAAGGAAATTTTCGTAAATATACCTTTTTAAGGATATTTTCGTAAATTTACCAATTTTTAAGATAATTTTGAAAAATTACCTTTTCAAAGGAAATTTCCGAAAAATTACCTTTTACCTTTTTAAAGGAAATTTTCGTAAAATTACCTTTTCAAAGGAAATTTTCAAAAATTATCTTTCAAAGGAAATTTTTGAAAAATTACCTTTACGAAGGAAAATTTTGAAAAATTACCTTTTCAAAGGAAATTTTTGAAAAATTACCTTTTTTTAAAGAAAACTTTGAAAAATTAGATTTTCAAAGGAAATTTTCGAAAAATTATCTTTTTAAAAAATTACATTTTCTAAGGAAATTTTTGAAAAATTACCTTTTCTAAGGAAATTTACGAAAAATTACCTTTTTTAAAGGAAATTTTCGTAAAATTTCCTCTTTGAAAAATTTCCTTTACACGATTTTTTTTGCAAAATTTTCATTTTGAAGAAAATTTTCTTTATTAGACGAGTCTATAGTTTTGATTTAAGATCAGTCATTAATCTTGAATAGAGATAAATGTATAATCTTGTCTATACATCAGTCTGTAGTCTTGTCTATAGATCAGACTATAGTCTTGACTATAAATCAGTCCATAGTTTTGACTATAGATAAGTTTATAGTCCTGACTATAGATTAGTTTATTGTTTTAACAGTAGATACGTCTACAGTATTGACTACAGATCGGTCTATTATAGTATAGATCAGTCAGTTTTTACTATAGATGATCCTCTTGACTATAGATCAGTATATAGTCTTGACTAAAGATCAGTCTATAGTCTTGACTATAGATCAGTCTATAGTCTTGACGTATTGTCTTCACTATAGATAGGTCTATAGTCTTGACTATAGATCAGTCTATAGTCTTGAATATAGATCAGTCTATAGTCTGACTATAGATCAGTCTATAGTCTTGAATATAGATCAGTCTATAGTCTTGACTATAGATCAGTCTATAGTCTTGACTATAGATCAGTCTATAGTCTTGACTATAGATCAGTCTATAGTCTTGACTATAGATCAGTCTATAGTCTTGACTATAGATCAGTCTATAGTCTTGACTATAGATCAGTCTATAGTCTTGACTATAGATCAGTCTATAGTCTTGACTATAGATCAGTCTATAGTCTTGACTATAGATCAGTCTATAGTCTTGACTATAGTCTTATAGATCAGTCTATAGTCTTGACTATAGATCAGTCTATAGTCTTGACTATAGATCAGTCTATAGTCTTGACTATAGATCAGTCTATAGTCTTGACTATAGATCAGTCTATAGTCTTGACTATAGATCAGTCTATAGTCTTGACTTTAGATCAGTCTATAGTCTTGACTATAGATCAGTCTATAGTCTTGACTTTAGATCAGTCTATAGTCTTGACTATAGATCAGTCTATAGTCTTGACTATAGATCAGTCTGTAGTCTTGACTATAGATCAGTCTATAGTCTTGACTATAGATCAGTCTATAGTCTTGACTATAGATCAGTCTATAGTCTTGACTATAGATCAGTCTTTAGTCTTGACTATAGATCAGTCTATAGTCTTGACTATAGATCAGTGTATAGTCTTGACTATAGATCAGTCTATAGTCTTGACTATAGATCAGTCTATTGTCTTGACTATAGATCAGTCTATAGTCTTGACTATAGATTAGAATATAGTCTTCACTATAGATCAATCTATAGTACTGACTATAGATCTGTCTATAGTGTTGACTATAGATTTGTCTATAGTCTTGACTACAGATCAGTCTGTAGTGTTTTCTATAGATCAATTTATAGTCTTGACTATCGGCTTACTGTCTTGTCTTCCTTTTTATAGAAAATTTTCAGAATTTTTTTTTTATATGAATTTTTTACAAAATGTGGTTTTAATTCCCTCATTTTTAAAGTCCTTGCAGAATTGCAGTACTAATGCATTCATATTATAAGAATATCGATTTCTTAATTGGCATAATTCCAAAGAAAATCCTTAATATTTTTCTTCAAATTTGCCAAAAATATGTACCGCAAAATACTACACTTTCTAAGTACAAGTAATTTGAACATTCCAAAAACAACTATTCGTAAATAATAATCATTGTTATACCCCCAATTTAGTAATTTAAAACAAATTTAACCTACATTGTGGCAATGAATGAGTGAAAAACAGACATAAAAAAATCTAATAGAATAACAAATTTAACTTAAATATTTAACGTAAAGTAAAAACATAAATAAATAAACAAATAAATATATACAAAATAAAAAATAAAAACAATCTACATAAATAATAAATAAACATGTGACCCTGTATATAAGAGACCAGCAGCTCAAAAACGAGACTTTTAGACAGTTTATTGATCTTTCTATCTTTTTTTAGAAGATCAAGGAATATAAAAGAACAACAATAGAATATTTGAATATATAAAAATAATTATTAGAATTAATAGAGCTTAATTATTTAAATAATGTGGAATGTTGTGATAGATTCGACACTCTTCTATTACTACGGGATCATTTGTCAACAAAAGTTTTTTAGTATTGTCAAATGGACAGATTCTTATGGACTAATTTGAGATCGTACAAATATAGAGACAAAAAATTAGTTTACTTAATTAAACAAATCAGTCGATAGATCATATACTGACCAATAACCAAGACTAAAGACTAGGATGATCAAGAGCCAAGACTACCGACTATAAGACTATAGACTGATCTATAGTCAAGACTATAGACTGATCTATAGCCAAGACTATAGACTGATCTATAGCCAAGACTATAGACTGATCTATAGCCAAGACTATGGACTGAGATATAGTCAAGACTATAGACTGATCTATAGTCAAGACTTTAGACTGATCTATAGTCAAGACTTTAGACTAATCTATAGTCAAGACTATAGACTGATCTATAGTCAAGACTATAGACTGATCTATAGTCAAGACTATAGACGGATCTATAGTCAAGACTATAGACGGATCTATAGTCAAGACTATAGACGGATCTATAGTCAAGACTATAGACGGATCTATAGTCAAGACTATAGACGGATCTATAGTCAAGACTATAGACGGATCTATAGTCAAGACTATAGACGGATCTATAGTCAAGACTATAGTCGGATCTATAGTCAAGACTTTAGACTGATCTATATTCAAGACTTTAGACTGATCTATAGTCAAGACTTTAGACGGATCTATAGTCAAGACTATAGACGGATCTATAGTCAAGACTTTAGACTGATCTATAGTCAAGACTTTAGACTGATCTATAGTCAAGACATTAGGCTGATCTATAGTTAAGACTACGGACTGATCTATAGTCAAGACTATAGACTGATCTATAGTCAAGACTATAGACTGATCTATAGTCAAGACTATAGACGGATCTATAGTCAAGACTATAGACTGATCTATAGTCAAGACTAGAGACTGATCTATAGTCAAGACTAGAGACTGATCTATAGTCAAGACTAGAGACTGATCTATAGTCAAGACTATAGACTGATATATAGTCAAGACTATAGACGGATCTTTAGTCAAGACTATAGACGAATCTATAGTCAAGACTATAGACGAATCTATAGTCAAGACTATAGACCGATCTATAGTCAAGACTATAGACGGATCTATAGTCAAGACTATAGACGGATCTATAGTCAAGAGTATGGTCTAATTTATAATCAAGACTATAGACTAATCTATAGTCAAGACTATAATCAACTTTTCCGCATAATAATAAAAACTACAAAATACCACATAAATATACACATTTTAGAAACTAACACAAAATATTTGCACAAATAAATTGCGTTTTATTTTTAAAAAAGATGTCTCCCTTTGTTTCCCCTTCCCAATGATCATTTGATTTTGTTACTTTTTTA